TGAAAACATTGTCATCAAAACAGGAAGGGGAAAATCTCTTAAGCAGAGCCAAACAGTAAAACCTGAAGAGGTGGTTATAACCAGTTCTGACTATACAACAACAAAAAAAGTCTGAAAATACACTTATAAAATGTATGTACAGCCATATTTTGTTTTAGTTAAAACCCGTCTGGTTATTTGTTCCAATTGGGGAGATTTGTCTTTACTTTCCACCCCCAGAGATGCAACAGGAACTTAGAAGTCCCCTCTGTTGTCCCCATTAGAATTCCCCTTACCTCTTGTTCTAGGAACAAACTTTGCATTTCCTGAACAATGGCCACCAGTACAAATAAAAGGAGTAAACTTCCTCCATAGACAGACAACAAAAACTTGACTGAAGGTCTAACCCTTTCCTATTGTATCCAAAAGTTGAAAAAAAAAAGCTTCTGCCAAGGGATGCATTTCAAAGGCTCATTCACACTCACCCCCACACTCAAATGGGTGCAGGCTGGTGCTTGTTGGAATGGTTGCTTTAACGGCAAGTTTACACCACTTAGTGCGTTCCAGCAAAGATAGCTGCTGGAACACACTGGATCATGTTCTGGCTGGCTCCCTGTGGTGGGAGGAGGCAGCTAATCATGCTGGAATGCACTGAAGATGGTATGAACCGGTCCTTAAGTGCAACAAAAAAGACAAGTCATCAGTTTCTATGCAATGCAGTTGTGCTGCAGTGTGGTGATATGGTGAGGTGCATCGCAAAAATGCAGCAGGTCAACAAAAACTGCAATCCAGCACAAGGTAGTGTTATGGTGTGAACAGGACACATAGCAAACAGCGGTTTTCTATGTGCCCTGACATTGAGCCTGTGCTGATCATGCAGTACAGCTGAAGTGATGTGAACACGAGAGTTCCTTTGGAAATGCAAGGGAAAAGAAAACCCACCAAAAACAAAATATCTTTGCCTTTGAGCTTTGTCAGAATTTGCAGCAAAAGGCAAGATCTGGAGTATAGCTTTTAAAAAGGACAGATATTCTGTAACAGAACCCCAGCCACGCAGCTAAGCGGAAGGTTGAGATGTGCAATGTTTTAACTGCTTTCATTATTTTCAGCTACTTTGTTGACTGACTTATTTACTACTTATTCAAAAGGGTGAGAGCAGCATTTAGAGCATGCAGCCGTGCAACTTTCTTTGGACTATGAAGCAATCTGTAGAGTTCTCATCTCCCCTCATTACAATTCAGTGTTAGTAGCTTCTACACTCACCAGTTAGGAGAGCACTTCAGGGGGGCACTTGAACTTCTATACCCTTTTATTTGTTGCAGGACTATTGTGTTTGTTAGGCCAGCTGCAGAGCAGCCACAGTTTGAAACACTGGCCTTCTTGGCCATGTTTTGCTTCATGCCTCAATTGCTTCCCCTCTAGAAGATTCCAACTGGAAACCAGGAGAGCTGGCATCATCGAGCTTAATACCACTTTATAGTATAACACTAAGTTATGGAGGGTCAAACACAGTTGTCATGGGAAATTGAAAGAAATGATCAGGTACTTGGCAAATGTTTAATAATCTGATCATGAGAACACACACGGAGCATAGTCCAAGGACAAACATTTACAACCATTACCCAAGTTCTAGGAAAATAACCACAAGCCCTTCAAACACTTGCCAGGATTGTTTATGGTTAGTTTTGGGTACAGTGGTAAAGGGTAAAGACTATCTGGCAAGTTTTAAATGCTGTGTCACTATTGAGAATGTTATGCAAGACACCCAACACCTAGACAGGAAATGCAATCTCCCTCACATGGGAACATAAAATGTCATACTAACCTGGTAAAGACTCTAAACCTCTCACCTGACCAACCGCTCAGTGTCTGCAACTCCCATCTGTCAATCCCTACGCTGGATTCCACTCGCCCAGAGGATAAAATTAAAAATATTAAGTCACGTATAAAGCCATCCACAACTCTGCCCCCAGATACATTTCAACCGTCTTCACCCTAACCGTCCACTCATCCCAAGACCTCCTGCTTTCCAGCTCCCTTGTCAACTCCTCCCATACTCGCCTCCAGGACTTCTCTAGTCTCTCCCATCCTCTGGAACTCTTTACCCCAACCTGTCCCGTCTATCTCCCACCTTGACTGCCTTTAAAACGATCCCTTAAGACTCATCTCTTCAGGGAAGCCTATCCCACCTCGACCTAACCACCATGTTCTCAAACAATTCATCCCCACACAGCTACCTCATGTATCACTTCTCCCTCCCTTTTAGATTGGAAGCCCTCAGGGGCAGGGCCCTCCTTACCATCCAGTCTTTAATTGCGATTGTAAGGTTTTCCTTATATTGTAAAGCGTTGCGCAAACTGTTGGCGCTATATAATAATTATAACATGCAGGTTTATGTTTTAGGGACATAAAATATGGCATATTTTTTTTCTGTCAAATGGTTCATTCACACCACACCCACATAATAATTCACGGTTTGTTCATAAAGGCCTACTCTATACACATGTAATTTCGATTTGGCTATTACCAATCTGAGACGCATGCAATCTTGCATATCTTAATTTTCAGTGGAGATGCAAAAGGTAGAAACCCAACTGATCTCTACAGAACAGGGAATCCAACTGAGTGACGCAGAGTGGCATTTGTGACGGCACAAACTGCTGTATAGGAAGTCTTGTCAGCTTTTTAGATCTCGGACTGCGGTGGCAGGAAAGTCAGTCTCGCTAGACTTTCAGAAAGTGCTATGATCAGCGTGAAATGCATGACCGCATTTTATCCTGCGATATGCGGACATTTCCGCTTTCATCTAGTGAGGAGGATCATTCCTTCAGTCTTACTGGGGGCTAAACACAGTTTCTGAATTCAATGCTTTGAATTACTACATTTTACTGTACACACAAGAGTTTGAGGCCCCCCCCAAAAAAAAAAGCTTCAGACAGAGAAGAACTCAAACAAACAAATTGGTGTCTACACCCAGCAGTGTTTTATTGTTTCAAAACCACCAGGAATGGCTTGAACTAGTCACAGGTACAAAACTCAAAGATGTGAGTGATTTTGTTTGACTTGACCATTTTAGACATAAATAGCACGCGATACTAAAGACTACTTTTCATATTTTCACTGGTTAAGTGCATTGGTGGACTAGTTTCTAGTCATGCAATTGAGAGAAACTCAAAAGCAGTATCTTTCTCCTCTTGAAGTTCTTTGGCTGTTGCATCAATCTTCCCACGAGAGAAGTCATCAATTTTTAGGCCTTCGACTATCTTCCAGCTTTTATTCTGTTTGGAGATGGGATCAATATTTAGATAATGTTTATCAATAATTTAGCGATCAACAGAATTCTTGGAACAAAAAAACAAAAACAAATTACAACACAAACAAGTTAGCAGGCTGAGATTTATGGTAGAGTGTCTTCTGCCATAACACATCCTGCACTTGCTGCTACCAGTTTTTTTTCCTAACTGTACATGGACCACCATACAAATAATGAGAGTAGCAGCCAGGTACTGGGACATGCAACTACATCCTGGAGTTTCATCATCCATTGCCAACCAATGGCTGAAGGCAGAAGACTCTGGACGCAGAATAAGATGGCAGCATCAGAGCAAGCTAAAAGGCAGGTCTGCCATAAATTGCACATTAGCTTTGGGGAGACCCATTTAAGCAGAACTTTACTTGCCTTCAAGCACTGGCACATACATGTTCTCCCTGGCACATAAAGGTTCCTAGATGTTACATTGAGCTGCGCATGGTCAGCATACATTCTGAAGAATACTGTGAACAGGCGGTTAAGTTTGTATTGTGCAGAAGAGACCGCATGTCTCTTCTAAAATAAAGTAGCTGCATGCTTGATTTATTATTTTTGTAAGGTTCAACATTAAGTATAGTTCCATCTAGAACCAGGACCAAATGTGCTGAGTGATAATCAGTGTAGAAGTAAACATCATGCCATCAAAATTTACTTGCTGACATTGTAACTGCAACTGGAGGGGTTGGAAGATCTGTGTATAAGTTGCTATTACACTACAGGTTTGGCATGAACTGCATGTTACAGGCCACAAATTGTTTTTGCAGGAGTCAAATGTTTGCTCTCCAAGTATCCATTCATCCTTGGACTAGTACACTTTTAACCCCTTCGTGACTGACGACGTACAGTGTACGTCGCCAGCATCGGGGCTGAGTACAGAGAGAAAGAGGCTGCAAGCTCTCAAAATGCAGTCTCTAGCTTTTGCAGGAAGTTGGGAAAGGGCAATTGCTGCAAGTCCATAAACAGAGTACAAGTCAAAACGTCGACAAAAAGTTTTACCACTGTCATACTCGGTTTTGAAAAGTTATTTAACTTTTGTAAAACCACTTATCTCCTACATAAAAGAGAATAAAAATAAAAAGAGAACTCCATTATACAAAGACATTTTAAAATGTTACCTTAATTACAACAGGAAAGGAGTAAATAAGTTCACAGGGCACTCCATAGGAGTTCCCATCTGAAATAACACCCATGGACACATGCTGCCCCTGTAAAGAGAAGAAAAAGAAATAAAAAAAGTTACAAAATTATGCCATTTAGATTGGAAAGCGTAATTACCCAGACTTTAGTAACAGGCTACTTACTATACTTTGCCATATTAAAAATATTCTGAAATGTGACACACACAACCCTCCCTGCATTACCTGTGAATTAGTTTTTTTAATTACTTGCAATTTACCCTATTGACAGCCTAGGTAATGTCTGACTGCTGTATGCAGTAGCTCCGTTAATGTAGAACACTGCACAGACAACATGCCCCTCCCCTAGTATCAGTACCTGTATTACCTCTCTGCAGCTAGACAGGACCCAGTTAAAAAAAAAAAAAAAACAGAAGTTAAAACCAGAGGCAAGAAAAGAAAATGTAAACATTTTAGTGGACCAAAAATGTTTCTGGTCCGACTGAATGTGTCACTTTGATCTTCATATCTACCGTGTTTCCCCGAAAATAAGACCTAGCGCTATCTTCGGGGATTTCTGTAATATAAGACCTACCCCGAAAATAAGACCTAGCGCTATCTTCGGGGATTTCTGTAATATAAGACCTACCCCGAAAATAAGACCTAGCGCTATCTTCGGGGATTTCTGTAATATAAGACCTACCCCGAAAATAAGACCTAGCGCTATCTTCGGGGATTTCTGTAATATAAGACCTACCCCGAAAATAAGACCTAGCGCTATCTTCGGGGATTTCTGTAATATAAGACCTACCCCGAAAATAAGACCTAGCGCTATCTTCGGGGATTTCTGTAATATAAGACCTACCCCGAAAATAAGACCTAGCGCTATCTTCGGGGATTTCTGTAATATAAGACCTACCCCGAAAATAAGACCTAGCGCTATCTTCGGGGATTTCTGTAATATAAGACCTACCCCGAAAATAAGACCTAGCGCTATCTTCGGGGATTTCTGTAATATAAGACCTACCCCGAAAATAAGACCTAGCGCTATCTTCGGGGATTTCTGTAATATAAGACCTACCACCGAACTAGGTCTTATTTTCGGGGAAACACGGTACTATGTGTTAACCCCTGACAACCCATGCGAAGTGTCAGCATGGAGGACATAAAACAGAGCTGGGTGTGATTTACATACTACCTTCAGCTTCACCAAAAACCCACTGGATGAATATACCCTAATGCCCTTTCCTGCCAAGGTGTCCTTGCTGGCATCACCATTGACAGAAGAAAAATTTTATACATGGGCGTACAAGACGAAATTCAGCAAGCACCGCAGCAGCTTTGGTTTGTTGAAAGGCAATTTCTTTAATCAACAGATTATATCCAAACTCAGTATAGAGTATTGTTTCTCAACCTTTTTTCAGTCACAACACCCTTTAAAAGTATACAAAATATCAAGGCGTCCCTCATTGATTTAAAAATAAATAAAATCGCGGTGTTTTCACCCCTTCACTTCTGTGGAATGCTGGGGGGGGAGGTCCTGGATGGAGCCAGTCCTGGATTAGCATTGAGATTCTATGGTGCAAATAGCCAGCTTGTCTGCACCATGGAAATGCACAACACTGCAAAAAAATGTATTTTCTTATATACAGTACAAGCTGTTATCACAGACACCTAATAGCCATTTCAAAGCTAGGATATTGAAGTACTGACAATTCTCTCTGGTTTAAACAGATTCAAATACATATTTGGTGATGTTAAGGGCCTCACTGGGCAAATTAAACCTCATTTACCTCTGGGGTTCCAAACCAAATGTCTTTAATATGATCACAGATGGCTTTGGCAGCAGACATAGCACTGGATAACTTCCTCGCTGCAATAACAGCAGCGCCACGCTGCTGCACAGTCTAGAAGAGATGGAGACACAAATGACTATAGTTAAAACTGGAATAAAAAAGAACCCACCACAGAAGCATTAGATTAGGTTGATGGAATATAAATTTATGCCAAGGCATTTGGTCATGTGATATTCACTTAAGTGCACAGGCACCCAGATTATATACATTAACCACTTAAAGGCCATGGTGTTTCACCCCCTTCCTGGCCAGGCCATTTTTCAGTGTTCAGAGCTGCGGTACTTTGACTGATGTTTATTCCGTCATGCAATGCTGTACTGAAATGAATTTCATACCATTTTTTGGGGACAGATAGGGCTTTATTTTAGTGGTATTTAAATCACCACTGGGAGTTTTATTTTTTACTATAACAAAAAAAGTACCCTTTTTTTGGAAACCATGTTTCCGTTTAAATCGTTATGAAACATTTATTTTCACCTCAATTTTTTGGTAGAATATAAAAGACGGGGTCACGTCGGGTAAATAGACACTAAACATGTTAACCTTTAAAATTGCGCGCGCCCGCACATGGAAAATATTAGGACTACAGAATAATTAAGATTCATGTTGTAGAGATGGAGTGGGAAGGTTGTAGTAGTTTATTTAGCCAAGTCATAACCCTACCCACACAAAATACCTGTTTTTTTTGCTCACATCGTCAGCACTAGAGGGAGCTTTAAGTAGGATTTTATCCAGTAAAAAGGAGAATTACATCCATCTCCATTAGGCACCAGTCACCCCAAAATCGCAATGCAACGGACGGTCCATTGCTTTGCAATTGTACCTTTCCAACTTCTGTGCAATCCAATGAGATTTTTAGGCTTCGTTTTCAGTTGTCCTTTTTATCATTAAGCGTTATATGAAGCAACAAGTCTAGAGTGAACATACTTTACTGAAGTTTGCAATGCGTTGATGCATTTTTGCAGCGTTTCACTGAAAGTAGAAGAGCATTCTCTACTTTTTTTTCTCCAGTGCAAGTGACATTACAAGGCCACCACCAAAAATTGGTGGAGAAAAGATTTAACCACGAAGGGCATGGGGGCTTCTTTTCAGTTACATTTTGGAACTCGCTGCCACAAGCAGTGGTATCAGCAGGGAGTATTGAATCATTCAAAAATCATTTAGATACCTTCCTCAGACCATAACATACAGGGGGTACAGGTACTCTTAAAAATTAGATCACAAAAGGGACTCGTGTGTACACATGTTGAACTTTATGGACATGTGTTTATTCAACCTCAACTACTACGTAACGCACCGGTGTAAGCCATCTCATTCACACCAATTTTTTGTTGCCCTTGTGTTACCATCCATTGGAAATGGATGGTAACACAAGGGATTCGGTATGAATGCACGGATTCAGTACTCTGAGCTCCCAGATGGACAGAGGCCAGAGGAAGGGAAGCACACCTTATTGGGGCACTTTTATATACACGCATAAAACTACCTCAATATAGTTTATATTGCCATTTATCTACATCAGGCTACAGTTTAAATTCCCGTAGATTTGGACTCCCTGTGGTGCATTTTTAAAATGGATTATAAACTACATATATGCTGTAACTTTTCTTCTTACCGAGATGAATTCCCCTTTCAGCCAGCTGTCATCCTTCACTGCTTCAAACACCGACACGTCCTTTCCTTTGAGATTGGCAACAGCATGACTAACATCAGGGTACTGAGTGGAGGAGTGATTTCCCCAGATGATCACATTTTTGACATCATCATTTGCTACCTTCAAACGATTTGCAATCTGGAGTAACAAAAAAACCAAACAAAACTGATGTGATTGGTTCAATGATCTCAAAGTAAAATATTTTCATGTGTGCAGAGCAGCCAGACATGGCAGAATATATTTACTTTACGTTAAGTTTCTTGCTTTGCTGAAAATGAAAGTGGGAAATCAATCACAAAAAGTACATATTCTACATCAAACCCTTCGTGACAATTATCTCTAGGAAATAGCTCATTTAGAATCAAGAAACAATTCAATGGCCGCCTTCTTTTACCTGAGCTTTTGCTCTGTTGTGATCTAGACGGGTCAAGCAGCTGAAGTTATCTTTGGGAATGGATGGAGCAGACTTCATTGCAGTCAGGCAGTTAGTGTTTGCAGGATTGCCCACCACAATCACCTGAAAAAAAACCCAAAAAAACAAAAACATGAGAACTGTTGACCAAAGCGGTCACTTTCTACAACTGGAAGCAGCTAAAAGAAGAATCTACCGGCCCCTAACTTGTAGCGATGTGGGGGACTGGCAAGAGTAACCAAGTATAGCAGAGGGTGGGGCAGGACTATCTAGTGTGAACATGTTACCAATAAATGCTCCTGGCAGTTTCTTTTCTTATGCACATCCCTAATCATTCTTGGCATGCCAAGAATAAAACCTGGTGGCAGGTGCCAAGTAGATCCAAGAACATAGTAACATCATCATTGGTCATCCAATGGCTGAAGATGAGTACAGAAAGTCGGTAGAAGCAGCAGGAAAAGATGGAGCAGCAGCAATTGGCATAGAGACCTGTCACCACTGGAGGGTACCATAAATTGCAAGTACAGTATGTGAAGAAAACAATGTAAAATAAAGCTGCAGACACTTTGCGCACACTTTGGCTGAGAGCTCACCAGCTCCATGCCGAATTTAGTTCTACTTCAAAAAAGGTGGCATGCAAAGCAGTCAAGACTGACCATATACAGTTAGGATGGTGAAGACAAGTGGCACTACTATACATGGATAGTGTTGCTCATCTTCAGGGAGGCAAATTGTGATGGGGCAGGTTTGAAAACTTCAGCAACTGTGCGGCAGGGTCCTCTCAGACAAGAGAACAATCGCCTGCTCTGCCCAAAAATAGCTGCATCAACTGACTCATCTCTATGGGTATCTTTATCGAGCCCTTAAATCTTTAATAGATGAGCTAGGCTGTCTGATTGTAATAGGTATTGTCACTTTATAGAAAGAATCACCTTCACAGACTTCTTGGCGTATTTGTCAAGAGCGGCACCTTGGGATTTAAAGATTTTCACATTAGCCTTCAGCAGGTCTTTTCTTTCCATTCCTTCCCTCCTTGGCATGGAGCCCACCAGGACAGCAACATCCAGGTCTTTGAAGGCCTCCTCTTCCTTGTCTGTAGCTACCACATCTGCAAAAGTAATCCAAACAATGAATAGCAGAGAATAGATCTCACCTACTCTCAGCAATGTTTGCCAATTTTAGACTAAAACCTTGGCGCGATACATTTTTTCTTTTTTTTTTTTAATGCCAGAAATTTTTGTTGGGAGAATGTCCTTAAAATCCTTCCACCTACCCTGGAGGCTCTAGTCTACAAAGAGACTTATGCACAACTAAGGCAGATGGTGCTAGTGTCTGAATTTGACCAGATATTAGCTTCTTGCAGTTTATAAACAAAAGAGTTCAGAGTAGAGCACAAATCAGAGGAGCATGCCTATAGGAGGTGAATGCAGACAGGTGAGCTCATCATGATGCTGCTTCTTCACTGTCCGGTCACAGCCTGGGGGCAAGGTCCAGTCTGGGCTCAGGAAGTGCTAATCAGAGTTCAACATTTTGCAGCAGAATAAAATAAGTACTGCAGACGGCCGCGCTGGACTGATCTTCTAATGCACCATTTCTTTTAGAACTGGATTTATGGTTTAAACATGAAGTGTATGATTAAGAAGCATAAGCATTTAAATGCATAATTGTCAATGTTCATGGTAACACTTTCAGGAGCAGATGTCATTGAAACGTAGATGCCAGAACAGCAGCTTCAGTATGTAACAGTTAACTTGACAATATCAGACTAATCTTCCCATGTAGGATTTTTTTTAAACCAGTCATAAAAGACTTAATACATTGTTCTTATACTCATGTCCTTTTTAGGTATAACAAAAAAACAAAAAAGTGGAGAAGTAAAAAAAATGCAATTTGGTATTTCAGTTTTTAATCTAAAAAGGTTTAGCTTAATTTATACCAGTTCCATCATTGCGCACTCACATGCAGAGCAAGAAGTACGGAGGTACAGTGCAATCTGCAGGCAGGACAAGTTCTTTGTAAAGTCGCCTCCAGCCAGTATGTGATCCCCATTATCTGTCATGGTAAATACGTGATCACATATTAGTCTGACCATGCACTATACAATCTGTTTGTACAATCTCCTTTAGATCCATCATCCACTTTATAATGCAATCTTGCATGATTTGATACATACTTGGCTTAGGTTAGTCCTCATTCCATAGTTTTGGTAGATGGAAATTGTACAATCAGACTGTATGAGTGGTCCCCTTTAGTTTGAACACTGTAGCCGTCAGTGACTGTGCGGTCTCTCAGATGAAACATAGATCAATGTTCTCTCAGCACATAGAACTGTGCCCAAGTACATTAAAACATGTCCGCTCAACATTATGCTTCATCCACTCCCAATATGCAAAAGTGGGAAATCAGTCTATATGGATCCTCATGTGAACTTCACAATAACTTTCACTCTCTCATTGGCATTTCAAAGAGTCTAATGTAAAAGAACAAGTTGTAATATGCAAATGAACCTGCATGTGCTCTAGATCAGTGGTTCTCAACTCGTGGGTCGCGACCCAAAAGTGGGTCGCGACACCCTCTGCAGTGGGTCGCAGCGTCATGTCTGAATAGAACACCACGGCAGTTCAACCTATGACCCATAGATTTTCAGATGTCTGCAGTTCACAAACAACTCGAAAACAGTAATAAAATGACGTAAACTTGTCAGGCTGTTTTTAAAGGAGAGCGTGTAGAACAAACCTTTACCCTTCAGACACACAAACACACTACATGAAACAAACACTTTGGACCCATCAGGAAAAATATTTTCTTTATGCTTAATGGGTAAAATGTGACTCTGGAATTAAATGAGCAGAGTATTACACAACTGCTTACTTAGCTTGTTCCGGTGTCAGATTTGTGGAGAGAGAGAGACTCACAATTAAAAATTGTAAGCGGCACTGCTGTGTCAGATCAAAGATCACTTTCATCTCTCAGAATTGACATTTTCAAGGAGATTTTATAGAGTCTTCCTCAGTCGTTACCTCTGGATTAGGGATGCTTTTCACACTTTATAGGGCCTATTGAGGACAATGCTTATGATTGCATAAACACATGAACATGCACAATTGTTGATCTAGCGAGTAAAAATGGACACACGGAAAGGGGTAACTTTTACCTTTAGGACTACAGTACATGACACATTTAAATTTACTGTCAGCCATTGGAAGTAAAAGACCCTACGCAGAACAATTACCTTTCAACAGAGGTAGGGCACAGTCCTGGAGCTCCATTACAACTCCTCCCAATACTCCCATCATCGGTGTAATATCCAGAAGAATAAGCACCAGTTGCTGCAATAAAACAAGCGCATATTGGGCATTAGATGAATTAACTTCATGTATCAATCTGCTACATCGCTACAGATGACAATCCAGAACATTATACGATTGTCCCAACAAGACAAAATGAGAAAATTCAATTAGACTTTCCAACATGACCAATTGTTTCTTTTAATGATTAAAACGATTTGTTAATTAAAACAGCTCATTTATTGGGATTTTTGACTGATGGGATTTCTGACTGATGGGATTCCCCCCTATCAAAATGATCATTTCATGTACAGCCAGCATGACAGACTAGAGTATTCAGTTCTTGACTCTAGGAGGAGATTGGGTCCAGAATGACAACCAAGCAAGTAGCATTCTTCCAGAAGAAATAAGTCTGCCTCCTGCTGGATATAGTAGCCACCTGTCACCAGGATAGGAAGTGAGGGGAAATAACCCCCAATGGGGGACACATACAAAAAAGAGTTGGTCCCCATTCACACCAGGGCGACAGTGTTCAGCACGTTTTCTGTTCATATGTCAGAGCGTTTTTTCAGCTCCTTTTCAGTTGCCCAATGTCTAGTGTTGGCTGCAAAAATGCGCTCATCAGTTACTTTTAAAGTTTATGGAGCAAAACGAGCTGATCAGCGCCACAAAAGCTCAGGGACTATTTCAAGCCACGGGCGTATTGTAAAGGACAGTTAAGCGTGTTTGCATGAACGGCCCCCATAGGAATATATGGGATTTTAATTTGCATGCGTTTCAGCGCAGAAAAATAAACACGCAACGAAATGCCCTGGTGTGAATGGGGCCTCACATGAGTTTTGGCTGGATTCCAGCATGGATGAGTCAGACAGGATAACCTTTCTACTGCTAATAACCACAGGAGTTGGAGAAAAGGTCTTCGATATTTTCGTCACTTAAACGCGTGGCAAATTCAGCTTAAAGCCAACCTGTGCTTTAAACCATGCAGGGAAAAGGAACACGTAGGTTTTAGGGCCCCCTTTAAAACCAACCTGGCTTAGGTTTAAATCTTTTACTGCTTGTTAAGAATATGGAAATAGTTGAATGTCCGTAGTCTGGGGACAGGTACATATAACTGATATTTCCCATTTCAGGAGCAGTCCACTCATTACTTTGAGAGTACATTAATGGTAACATTGATAAAACTATTAAAAGACAAAAAAAAAGAAGTTCTAGTCTGCTAAGTGCAATGTACCAATACGTGACATGACATACAATGATACACACTGCGTGCATGCATAAGTACAACATTTACCTGGTCTTTGCCAAACACATCCCCTTTAGCAATTCCGTACAGCAGAGAGTAGGCAATCTGACCGGCAGCTCCAGTCACCAGGACTCTTAAAGGTTGAGCCTAGAAAGGAAGGAAAAGACAGTCAGCGTTTTATCCAGAACAGCAACAAAATATTAATTCTTCTAGAGGTCATATTTTCCATACTATGATGAAGCCACCACTCTCACATGTACATGGTAGGAAACAGTCACAAATGATCCAACACTGCGGGGGATGAAATATCCATAGCATATCTGTATGCATAAAAACCATCAACAACTTTAAAATGAGATAAGTCAGCTCATTTAGCCCTGATTCACATGTGCGCAACAGCGTTTGTGCTTATAAATGAGCATTTTTTGCTGCACATTTTTACACACGTAAACCACATATGCATTAAGGCGCACGTTTTTATGAGCAGATTGTGACATTGATGAAATGGGCAAAACAAGCCGTCTCTGCCAAAAAGAAGCTCATGTACTTTTTCCAGGGACAGGCGTTTAACTTATGGCAACAAAAATATTCAGATGTGAACAGGGGCCATAGGAATGAATGGGACTTGTGAATCATTTTGCCACACTTACTCAATACATTTAGTGTGAACCAGGCCATATGGATATGGAGTTTTCCCCCATTTCATTCAAAGGTTATGTGGAGTATTGTAAAAAGGTAAATATTTGAAAGTGTAAGGCCCTTTAACACTGGAGTGTCAATTCTGATCAGGAGGGGATTTGTCCCTGCGGATTGAAGCAGTTCGGAATGGATGTTACCACTGATATCCGGGCCCGTACAGTTGTTTCCGCCATCTTGCCATGGAGGAAAAACCTGAAATTTACCAGACCCCATGTGTTAGGACTATGGGGAGTCAGATGTAAGTGGACACGTGTCCCTTACATTAGATTACCCCTAATCTGCAATAATCAGGTCCACCAAAATGGAACTCAGTTTCGATGCCACCGCCCATAGGCTAGCATTGGGCTTCCAATCAAATCTTGAAAAACTGACAGGCGGGTTTGATAGTCAGTCTGAAAGGGTCTTAGGAAGCTCATGAATTTGTTGGATTTGTGTGCCTCAGGATTTGTGGCCCGATTTAAGACATCTGAATGTATAGATACCACTTTGTGCCTGCAATGTATTCCAATGTACAGTTTAGTGGGTTTTTAAAGTATAAGCTGCTCTCATGGAAAAAACAAAACCCAAAACCAGTATTTGGAATTAACTAGTTAATATTAAAAAAAGCTGGAGGGGTGTAACACTGGGTGGGCATGTTGACATTTGCACTAATTACCCAATTACTCATCTGCCTGCTGAGGTCCAGATAGTGATTTATTTTTTCTAAAATCAGCAACCAAGCTAATTTGGTATTGTGTACCATAACAAGTGTGACATCATGCGTTACCATAATAAAGGATCCCATTCACCTCACTAAAGGGACCATGCAAGGCAAAAGCATGACTATAATGAGGTCTGATGAACCCCAAACTAAGTGGGGTGAATAGGGAAACTTTACTGAATACAGTGTAGCCCACATTCCTGCAAAGTCAGGGATGAAATGGTCAGATTTAAATCTAAGGTCTATGGTGGGGAGGTGGCATTCCATATAACGCCCAACTAGAACTTAGCTCAGTTTAAGAGACATTGACACAAAGCAGAGCTTGTTGTACATTCCCATTGGCCAGAGTTCTAACGGAGTCATGTTGGAATTGGTCAGGTTGTAGACAGTCTACAGAAAAAACATCTGTGAATCTTATGTTTTGACCTACAACTGAACTAGAAGACCCAAACTATTCATTTTCCATATTTTGTTTACTGTGAGGGAGTTGCATTCAGAAAAAGTAATGAAACACTGATGTATGAGAAGATGCCAATCAGACACCAAACATGCCTATGCTCCAATCTGGCAGGGAATAAAAACACATGAAATCCCCCAAGCCATATATGCATCCACTATACAGTGTATTTGGTGTCCATCAAACTAATTTCAATATTTTGGCTGTCAGATTGTGAAATATGGTCAGAATAGTTTGCATTGAGGTGGTGCCCACTGGACCATAATGAAACCTTCAGCACAGACCTCAGACCCTTTGATAAATGTCCTCCAGGAACCTAAAAAGATGGCTGCAATTGGCAGCCTGTATCATCTCTATCAAAACTAAGGAATGCCAAGAGTCGGCTATGAGGGCCAATGACGCCAGTACATCAGATTGGACTTGCACTGCAGTGGATTGGGCTTTATAGAGTTTTGAAACCCCATTAAATTACTGCCTAGGTATGGCAGAGTGTCACAGGCATTTCTAAAAAGGGTCAGAATTGCTACAGCTGAAGCCATAAATGGTGCATGCTTCTGTTAAATTATATTTGCCATGCCCACAAGCTGCGTTATCAACCTTTTTACCTCAAAGTGGTAATCTTTTCAATCAAGAGAGGCATGTAAAATCTGGGGCAGATTTGCACTGCAACCAATCAGCTTCTCTGTCTCATTTTCAAATCTTACCTGAGCAAACTGAAGATGCTGATTGGTTGCCATGGGCAACTGCTCCAGTTTTGATACATTTCCCCCATAGTAATCAAGAGACAGAGAACAGATATGTCCAAGGAGAAGTTGTTCTCAAACGAAGGCCTGACAGCCAAGATGGTGAGGGATGAAAGTTTTCATTGCAGAATTTCTCTTCAGTTAGATTTGCTTCATGAAATGCTACACACCGCTTGTTCACCATGCAGTTTATTTCATCCAACAGCCATCATGGTATAGCCCCCGCCTAGCAGCCACCCACCTCTAGAATAAACTACATGCATGGTGACGAGCAGAAGGCGGTGTTTTTACAGAGCGTGGATGGCTCCCGACCAGTACCTGCAGTGCACCCGGGTGATGGAGCGATGAGATTTCACATATTGCTTCATGGCTAGTTTTGCAACATTAAGGTCTTCAAGAAATACATTTACAGCCACTTTCTCCATATGTCATTATGAGGCCCTGTCCCATCTGTGAGTTTGGGGGATCACTGCTGTACAGCGGTGGCAATTGTGAAGAATGCTACATAACTGGCAGCACCAGTTCTCCAGGCATAACCTGGCATATGGTCACAAAGCCCTGAAGGAATATCCTTTAAATTAAGGTCATTCCCAAGCTCAGTCCCTGGAAGACAGACGCTTTACACGCACATGTCCTTCGTTAACCAAGTAATCTTACCCCATATGGACTCGACTAGGTAACACAAAACTCTTATGAAACATATTTCACAGATGACGATCTGACCTATACAAAGAACAATGAATGGATGAGAGTAATCTAGTGAGCACAGAATAAGAGCGGTAAGGGATACTCAACTGAGAGACATGTGTAAGCCAAGATGCCCACTGCGGTCTCCTGAAATCGCTGGCCGCTTGGCAGTCCTTTGCATTAGTCAGTTACTGACGCTGAACAAGCATTCAGAAATCTTAATCTACATAATTGCTTCAGGTCATTGGCCAAAAGTACTGAAGCCAAAGGATCAGCCTGACAGTAATTTCAGAAGGCGAGGTTAGGAAAGGCAGCCTATGCTTTTCTGTTGAACAGGTTACCTGTAAGGGCCCAGTCACACCTGTGTGCTGCGATAATGTGCATGTTACTGCAACACATTTGATGATTCTGTGCTGCAGGGCAATTCATTTTCAATGTCACTACAATGCACCTGTGCTGCAACAAAGGGCAATACACTACTGTGTGCTGCATTATCAAGAGTGCCGCATGCCAGATTTTTGGTCCGGTATGGTGCTTTAGGAAGCCCATTCAAATGACTCGTCTGCCCTAATGCAAGTTAATGTAGGACAAAACTCGTGTTAATGTGCGTGCGTTTCATGCACTGCAGCAGACTGGACCCTAAAGGAGACAACCAGTCAAGATCACATATTAGACAGGAACTTAAGGTGCGGCAGAGGCTCCGCTGGGGATCCAGAGAGAGGCTCGGACTCGTCGACCCCGGCGTCGCTGTCTTGGGGTCGCGACGACCGACTCACCTCTATCCTGAAAATACTAGTTTCCTGGCTGCTACGCCCTACATATGCTTTAATATATTGTGTTATGTACTAGTAACAAGTATGCAAGTAACAACTTCTGACTTTTCTGATCTGCCCACTTGCTCTGGGTCAGTGATTCAGAGTAAAGTTTAAACCAATACTGTAGTTGAGCACAGCAGCAAAACATAGCATGTTCAGGAGGTAATCACTGGCAGCCTCTATACATCTCACAGCAGGTTTACTTTAACAGGCGATTCAGCAGAGCAGACATGTCACATGCAGGGAGTGTCTTCTCCCCCAAATGCCATTGGCTGTAATGTTGCCACAGAGTTTCCACCCGCTAATGAGGGAATATTGCTAACAGGTGAGGAGGAAACTTAGGAACGCTATGGCTGTGTATACATGTGTGCACGCTTGTTCTATCTACCACCACAAACATGTGCTTCCATGGCAAAGACACTCATGACTGATCATCCAAAACTAGAAAGGGCAGCTTTACAGCCTTTTCCCATTTGTTTTCAATCAGAGAAAGGCCAAAAGCATGGCTATAAATTGATAAAACACGATTGAAGGATGAAATCATAAACCTTATATAATAAGACCCAGAACGCATTAGCTTCTACCTGAAGATTTCCAAATAAATGGATTTCCTCTAGAAGCCTGTCTTTTTGCATGATCCTCCTCCTGGTACGTACAGTTCACATTTAACCACATTTGCCGTCTGCCCGTTGCAAAAAAACAGACGGACGGCAATCTCACATTGGCAGGTTGCCGTAAATAGACGGCTTTTTTTCTGCTCTCACACGGGCAGAAAAGACCCGTCAGATGCGAAGAGCCGTTACTCGGCTGTTCACATACAAACGATCGGCGGCTCTATAGTCTGCTGATCGTTTGTATGTGCTGGCTGCGTGCCAGCTTCATCAGCTTCTTTGGGGGTCCCCAGGTGACATAAGGGGTCTTAAGAGACCCCTAATGTCTCCATAAAGAGAACCTGTCAGTGTGCCGTTGCTATTATATAGGGGGATTGTTATCCCCCACGGTTACGCACATATAATATGCGCCAGCGCACAAAAACGACAATTGCACTACACGTTACACATTGCCACGGCGAACATCTAAGTGAGGGCAATCATTTTAGGGCCATCAATCACTAATAACCCTAAACTGATGAGCGGTAAAAGCGTCGCCTATGGCCAATTTTGGGTATTGTAGTTTGAGGTTTCGCACGCACGTGCAATTAGAAGGCTTGACATGTTTGGTGTCTTTTACATGACGTGACCCCGTCTTTTATATTTTACCAAAAAATTGGGTAATAATAAATGCTTTATAATTTAATATAGGGGCAACATAAAAAAAAAAAAAAAATCAGTAATTTTTCCTTAATATAGTAAAAAAATTAAAACCCCCAGTTGTGATTAAAGACCACCAAAAGAAAGCTCTATCCGTCCTCATAAAATTAATTTCAGTACAGCGCTGCATGACAGAATAATGTCAAAGTAACGCAGCGCTGAATACTGAAAAATGGCCAGGCCAGGAAGGGGGTTCAACACCACGGACTTCAAGTGGGTAAGGGTCTATTGGAAGTCACGTGTAAGAGGACATGTGTTTACACGAGATTACCATGATCCATCACATTCTGTTCTCTTCCTTTTTCCAGACCTACAACAAGTCTGGGTAAATCAACTATAAGTGGACACACGTCCGTTTAGATTCGGCTGACCATAGACTTGGGCTACTTTCACACTATGTGCAATTAGATGCATTTAAAAAGCTTTATCAGCACATATATAAGCATCTAGTTATTGCCTATTCACGCACTGCGTTTAGATGCCTATATCTGCAGCCAGTTCATCTGCAGAAAAAGTCAGGTTCTCCAAACTGCATGCAAATGTGTGTACATGAATGTAAATGTGATTTGATTCCAGAATTTGGTACTGGATGCATCTAGACATGCATGTAAACATACATAAAAATGCAATATTTAATATATCTAGCCTGACAGATTTTCCTCTACATATAGAAGACAAAAACACGTGTGAATAAAACCCCACAACAGAGCTTCTGATCACATCCACCTGACAGGGGGACCTGATCGAACTGCTCGTCTAAGGCCTTGTTCACACCAAATGCAGACCAGATCAGATCAGGTTTCTGCACACGCAGTGTAGTGGGTTGTGTCGTGTTTTTGATGCGTTTAGGGACGGTTTTGGTAAAAAAAAAAAAAAAAATTTTTAAGTTTAACATGGACTTTCAGGCACTTGCATGCGTTTGATGCATTTTTGCATTTTAGATGCATTTTGATGCGTTCCAGAGCAGGTAAAATAGGGCTTGCCGCATTTTTTTCATCCGGTGTGGATCTGGTCTGGATCCGCACGCTGCGATGTGAACTGGAGGTCAAAATACCATAGGAATACATTGGACGCAGTTTTGATCTGGTCTGCCCCTGCTCTGCGCTTGGTGTGAACAAGGCCTTAAAAGGGACTCAACACCTCTATCCACGGATCATAAATGAGGCACCTTCATATGGGCTGATCCGTGCATGGACTCCCCTCCTGATCGGAGCGGTACAGATTGGATGTCAACATTGTGACAGCCGTGCGAGTCCAGCTTTTTCCCTCCATCTTGTGATGAAGGAAAAAAAAAACCCTGCAATTACTGGACCCAATTTCAGTCTATGGAAAGTCGGAAGTAAACAGACGCGTGTCCGCTTACATCAGATCACCCCCGATCCGGCACAATCAGTTGAAGCGGAACACTATTCCATTGTTTTTCCTGGACCTGGCCAGAGTCGAGGGTAACTGGATGTAAACAGACAACTGTCCATTTAGAACTGTCCATTTAGACCTGGACGCCCATAGACTTGCATCGGGCATCCGGTCCAGTCCACCTGAAAAGCTTACAGGCAGACCCGATCAGACCACCTGTGTGAAAGGGGACTTAATATGACACTTTACACAGTTTAAACTATCAAACTTTACAATCCTGAGTTAAAAAACAGTTTTCCAATCTAACCTAATTATATTGCACAATCATGTGCATAAAAAAAACCAACAAACACAAGACACACACACAACGTGTGCTGACCATCTAAAGAACTTGAAAAAACGGTTTAGCCTTAAAAATGTTATTCAATTACTTTCAACGACAACCAGACGTTTTTCATTTTGAAAAAATTCAAGAACTGGTTGGATTTTTTTTATTGCCATTCCCCTTTTGGTGACAGGGAATCCATGATGAAAAAAAAAAAACCTAACCTAATGGGGACACAGCAACTTAGACCCTCGGTCAGATTTTATTGTGTGCTGTTGGTGTCTCAATGTCCCGGCCAGCCCCAGTCTTCTCCTATGGGGTTAAAGTAACATAAAATGTAAAAAAATTGATGCCTCTTGATCCAATGATCTTTCCAGTAGTTCCTCCAGCGCTGGTGCCGGTCTCTGATCCAGCGCTGACTCCTGTCCCACGGGCTGCCAGCTGCTGCATTGACTTACACCGTTTCTTCTCCCGGCCGCAGATCTCAACTGCGCATGCGAACGCCCCATGAGCTTTTGCAGCCGCCCAAGAATCTTTAAATCTTCAGATAGGAGTGCGCAGCAGAGACACATGTAAGTTTTAACCTTTGGTATCTATTTTCACTTTTTAATATTTTTGCATACATCTACTGTTTGCTAGCAGTAGATATACCGTGTTTCCCCAAAAATAAGACACTGTCTTATGTTTTGGGGGCTAAAAAAAAAACAAAAAAAAAACCACACTAGGTCTTATTTTCTGGGTAGGTCTTATTTTGTTTTTAATGTACAACAATCCAAAGTTAATGCAAATCCAAATTAAATAATCCAAAATGGCAAACGTCAAGAATATGGTGATCAGGGCAATCAGGGGTGCCGTACCTTTCCAAGAGCAATTTGGTAACCAATCGCTGGCCAGAATGAGCAAAGTGCGCTTTCACAATCGATTCTTCACAGGCGGAGTGCATTTGGTATCACTCCGCCTGTGACAGGAGCCGGCACTATAGAGGAGGCATCGGCTTATGCGGCTCTGCTCCCTCCGCTGCCGCCTCGCTTCCTCTAGCGCTGGCTTCGTTGGCACCGCTGATTGTCTCCCGCCTCTCTTCCAAGTTCTCCCTTATGCCACCACCGGCCCTGGGAATGGTCACAACTAGGTCTTATTTTCGGGGTAGGTCTTATATTTTAGCAATTCCCAAAAATAGTACTAGGTCTTATTTTCGGGGAAACAGGGCATATACAACAACAAAAAACCCTGCAAAGGGTTGAACTATACGGAAAGCAAAACAAACCTGACACGTTTTAATGGTTGCCCGCTCCATTCAAAAATAAAACGTTACAGCTGGAGTCAAATGAACACTTCCATAGATGCATAGTTCAGCCCCCTTTGTGCATATACAAGCGGTTACTAAAAAGCTATCTTGATGGGAAAACCCACAAGAAAAATAAAATGGGGAGCAAAAAACATTGGGGGGAGATATAGCAAAAAATGGAACAAAATCTGGAGCAGTTGTGCATGGCAACCAACTTCGCTTTCATTGTGAATTCTCTACTGAACAAACAGCGAACCCAATTGGTTGCCCTGGGCAACTGCTCCAGTTTCAATAAATTCCTCCCATAGTCTTTGAGAGGACAAATCACCGTGTGCATGTCTGAGGGTGACCCCCTCCAACCCAGGGGTAGTTGAGTGTGTAACCCCACAGACTGGGAGGGAGAGTGACCCCACAGAGGAGGGGGTGACCCCAGACAAAGAACACACTACCTGCCTGTGTAGTCCGCACACCGCATGTCTCCTGGTGCAGTGCCAAATAACCCTGAAGGCCTGCAGTGAGCACACACCGCCCTCATACAGACAGGTGTGCCGCTGTCATGTTCAATATGTGGTCCTACAGCAAAAAACGTAATGGAAGACAATAAAGCTGGCACGCTGCCAACCCGAAACCAGCCATTGCAGGAATGGCCACAGTAGGCTGACTGGCAAACCATCGTGTTCTAGCTGTAGAGGAAGCCATACAAACCATTGTGCGAGTTGTACAGCGGACAGGCCGGTGTTCACCAGGAGAAAGAGAAGGAAGGAAGAATACGACTCTCTTCTCTGAGGCTTCTGTCAAGACTGGCTGCAGGTCACCTCTACTAGACGTAGCAGAGCTGCAAGGACACACGTGACTCACACACACCCCCTGCTCCTCCTGTCACCGGGGTGACGGGGTTCTGTAGTCTTTTTCAGCAGGGACGTGCCTAACCTGCAATGCTAAGTCTAGGCACAAATAACTACATTACCCACAATGCTTTGCGTGAATAACCGTTCATATCATTCCGCAGCCAAAGTGGGGCAACTGGCTGCTTATCGCGTGATGAAACGCGAGTTTGGGGGGTTATGATGACAGGCTGGGGGTGTAGTTATGCAGTAATTCATACGTTACAACAACGTGGAGACCTCCTCACAGAGTATTTATTGCTGTATTACAAGGGATGGAAATTAACGATTCAGTCATTCCTATATGAGTTCCAGCAGAAGAACAATATACAGTGATGGGGGATGGGAATTTATCAAAACTGGAGCAACATCTGGAGCAGTTGCTGGCGGCTACTAATCAGCTTCTCTTTTCAGATTGTTCAGTCAAGATTTTAAAATGAAAGAAAGATGCTGATTGGTTGACTTGCGCAGCTGCTCCAGATTTTGACAAATTCCCCCCACTGATGCTTATCATCAGGGCCAGATTTGTATCTTTGGACTAAGTAGGTACAGACACTTCTGCCTGTTCACACTTGCTGCATCAACATGCATTTACGCAACGTGGTAAAAACATGTGACGCGCTTGCAGCGCCATTGCTAATGTGGCCAAACGTGGTGAACAAAATGTGCGTCAATGCGTGACAAATGCACAGTCCAAAAATGCGCACAGGTCCTAGCTCAAACTGCAGCAAGAAACTTGTTTTTTAATTGAAATGAATGGGTTGATATGCGGCATTAACGCAAACGTGCGCTGCAAGTGTGAACGGGTCTTCGAGTCCAAAGACACCCCCCCCAGCTCTGCTAGAATCGGATTTATACACTGATCGGTATCTTCGTTCACTTGTCTTAACCCTTTCACTGCCAGAGCCTTTCCCCCCATATTTTGCACTCAGTTTAAAATGCACATTTAAGGCCTAAACATTACCGACCAAAATACAAAATGAGGTTGTGCAGGATCCCGACCTGAAAAAAGCAATTTCAGGGAGGTGCACTACTCATTTCAGGGAGGTGCCCTCTGCCTCCCCCCCATCATTCTGACTGACCGCGGCTCCGATGTCAGCTCAGCAAAAAAACACCAGAGCAGAGTAAACCTTTCTGGGAGTGCATGAAACCAATCAGCTTCTCTTTATTTTCAAATATTAATATTAACTGACCAAACTGAAGATAGAAGCTGCTCCCCATTTTGTCTGCTCCAGTTTTCATAAATTCCCCTCACGGTAGTTTGGTAGCGCACTGTGGCTGGGAGGTGCGTTGGGGTTCCATTCAAATGAATGGCAATGCAAACTCTGCACTGGAACACACAGTAGGTGCATTGTGTGATAGCGTGCGTTAATCACATGGTACCGTACAATTAACATGATGTATAGGTGTGAATGGGCCCTTAATGTAAAAAAAGGGCATTCAATAGGAGATTCTGCACAATGGTGCTCAGCCTCCCTTTGGAAAGAGCTCCACTTTGGATCACATTTTAGATGTGCAGCAGATCCAGTCCCCTGTGTGAAAGAGACCTTCATTCAGAAATGACCCCGCACGCTCACACAGATTATACAAGTTAGAAAATCTCCCTGTGTGATAATGAGCAACTCTGACCACCTGAATGTGCAAAATGCTTTTGCTGCGCGTCTTCAAGTGTTTCCATTGAAGTCTATAGGGCATTATTACACTGTTAAAGGAGAACTATGAGGTGAGTGCTTTTCACGCACCTCATAGTTCTAGCCGACCTGTGACAATGAGACTGTTACAGGTCGGCTCAGTAGATCGGGAGGTGAGCGAACACATACCGGCGTTTGCTCACCTCTCAATCCTGTCACGGCTCTCTGCCGTGACAGGGGAGGGGCTGGATTCCCCCCTCCCCGCTCCGCCAGCGCTGACTGGCGGAACGGACGGGTACAGCTGGCTCTGCCTTTAGATAGGCAGAGCCAGCTGTCAGTCACGCAGCTGGGCGGATCCAGACATAATTGTCGGGATCCGCTTCAGCTGCGGCGTCTCAGTATACCTCGAGCAGCTGCTTGTGGTATACTGCGGCGTCTCAGTATACCGCGAGCTGTTACTGAGCCTAGGGTGACGGGAGGACGCTAGTTTGTGTCCTCCCATTACCCTAAGGAGAACTATGGGGAAAAGACTTAACCCCATAGTTCTCCTTTAACTGCCCAAAGAAGCTCATGTGCCTTTTCGGGCATTTGGAAATGAATGGTACCGCAATGCACCTATCACACTGTTAAGCCTGCAACACACTATGCGAAGCAGTGCGACGCAAAGCTGCAAGGTGCGGAGCTGAGCGCAGCCAGATGAAAGACTTTATCTTCAGCCAATTGGCTCGCGCGTAACAACTCAATGGACTTCGGATCCTGACATGTGGGTTTATAGCCTCAAGTCGCTTGGCTGAATATGACATTTTTCATTTCAGCACGCTCACGCTCAGATATGCTAGCTCTTGCAAGCTGACGCACCGGATCAAAAATTTAAACACACACTGCAAGTGAAGGTCTAAGCGCCGCCGCTGACCTTTGCTGTGTGCCGCATTGCATGCAGTGTGTCACAGGCTTTAACGTATGCTAGATGCGTGGTTCTGTGTGTTAACCACACAGCCCTGGTGTGAACGGCCCTTAAAGTACCCTTAGGCCTAGTTCACACAGACTTGAGCTTATATATGAACAGTGTGAACAACGAGCTTTTACAGAGCATTTGCAGAGCTTTCAGTAAGCTTTCCTCACCTCCAGTTTGGGAATGTTCTATTCACAGAATACAAGGCATTCTGTGATTGGACAGGGAGAAAAGGGGCGTATAAAGGACAGGACCATCCCTTGTCCAATCACAGAATGCCTCCTATTTACACAATACAAGACATTTAATCACTGGGTGAGGGCGGGGGGACATATCCCGCTGGCTATGTCACTGCAGGGCGTAGTAGCCGGTGAAAGAAGTGGCAGATACCTCAGGGAGTGATTAGAGCAGTGTGCTGGGAGGAGTGTGACCGCTGGAGAGCCGGGTTGTGGCATTGTCTATGAGACTGGTGGTCCAACTCTGCCATGTGCTGCCAACACAGGGTAGTTTACAATTGCTGCAGCATCTAGCACAGGCGTAGGCAACCTCAGCACTACATTTGCTGTGGAACTAAAAGTCCCACGAGGCATTGCAAGATGCTGACAGCCTCAGACATGACAGCCAGAGGCAGGATGGGATTTGTAGTTTCACCACAGCTGGAATGCTGTGGTTGCCTATCCTCACTCTAGAAGTAAAAAAAAAAAAGTGAAAGTGACATTTGTATTACCAGGGATCTCAAGTCTCCCTTTCCGGTAAGATATCAGGGGGTAAAGTTTCAGAGTGAGGCTTGCCTCCTGGAGGAAGGTCATGTGATCTCTAGAGTAGCCTCAGAACGAGGCTTGCCTCCTGGAGGAAGGTCATATGATCTCTAGAGTAGCCTCAGAACGAGGCTTGCCTCCTGGAGGAAGGTCATGTGATCTCTAGAGTAGCCTCAGAACAAGGTTTGGCTCGGCTCTCAGAAGGAAGAAGTTACTTGTTGCACAGAGAGGGCGGACATAGACTGGTATTGAGAGCAGGTACAGGCACTGCTGCAGGGTTGAGAGAGTGCTGTTAACCCTTTGTAGATAATATAGAATTCATTATATTTCCTGGTTGTCTAGTTATAGAGAACATTTATTTCATTTGCTGCCCATAGCAACTAGTCAGCTGTGTATCAGGGACTTTACTCCCCAGCGTTTCTTTAAAAAGGCTGTCTAATAAATTGTGACCTTTACACTGACAGATACTTGAACATCAATTCACAAATCTGATGTATATATAAATAAATATACAATATTATTGGTATATGGATTTTATTTTACTGTGTGTGTGTGTATGTATGTATATATGTGTGTGTGTGTGTGTGTATATATATATATATTATTATCATTATTATTTCTTTTATATTCTGACGACGGCCGCTGTGAAAAAAAGAAAAAAAAGAAAGGGCACCTCCCTGAAATGAGACGGGAACCTCCCTGAAATATAAGGTTTTGCAGGTTGGGATGTCTGTATTACTGTATATACAGCCCGACTGCAGTTCTGATCCATAATGAGGGTCCACTTGGGCTTGATGCTGGTGTCACTGTTACAAGGTAGTGTCCATAATACATATTTCCCACAAATGATGTGTTCAATAGAAAGAAAGCTATTTATAAAGAGTTCATCAAGCAATGTCATTTATTTATCATATATTAAGCCTGACAGCTGTTCTAAATACACCTAAGCCATACCCTGCCCAGAGCCTGTACATTGTTATCATTTCCTGGATCTTCCTCCCAGTTCTTTCTCCTGCTGAGGTTCTATTATCCCCCATACTCAGGTAATACACTACATCAGGGTTAGACAACCTTGGAATGCTGGCTGTGGTGAAACTACAAATCCCACCATGCTTCTGCTACTAGTAGTAAAGCCTGTGGGCTGCCAGTCGTGCAATGCCTCATGGGATTTGTAGTTCCACAACAGTTAGTCACGATCGCTTACCCCCTCACTACACACCAACTTTGTCAACAGTAATCTTTCTGTAGCAGGGATTCCCTTTTGGAAGGAACCATTTTTACAGCGCGAGTATTCCAATAACCCCCACGAACTGGATTATGTGTAGTCTAGGCGAGACTGTACGGTTGCTAGGAGACAGCCTCAGCTTGTCTATACCGCCACGGAGCGAATGGGCGGGCTTTGTGTGTGCCGAGATTCAACGTAACGTCCTTCGGATTGGAAGACCCAACAAGGAAAGCACCGGAGCCTCGGGGTGTGCGGACCATCATTATAGAGGAGGTAGGGCTGCTCTCCGAACTCGTTCCCTCTATTAGTAGCTGCGATAAGTGGCATTAATCGAGCTCAGATTCAGCGCTGTGATTGGTTGTTGATTAATAGGGCTGAACCCAGCTCTCCCCATTGATATGAATGAACGGCTGATGTCATCGGACGAAAGTGCTGGGACAATAAGTTGTCACTCTTCAGGGGGCCAGTGTTACCTTGGTGTACAGTCTGGAAGGGTTTACTGTAGAAGTACACAGCCCTGTCCTGCATGCATGCGGATCCTATTGTAACAGATGATTTATGTGTTTCTAGTGGACCTGCAGCAGACTTCATGGCTTCTAGGTTTTGAAAATCAGAACGTAAAAGGGAAATTCCATTTTCTAAAAATAATAATAAATGCACACTTCTTTATAAAAGTACAAATGTGCATGGATTATTTTCTGCATTGGAAAAAAAACCCACCTATTGCTGACTTTCTGATCATCTCCATGCAGAGAGCGGTGACTGTCAATCATCACCCCCCACAGGGATTCCCCTCTCCGATCCTCCAGCACTGACTGGAGGAACAGGAGGGGACGGGCAGAGCAAGCTGTCAATCAGTCAGCGGGGTGGATCTCAACAATATTGTCGGGATCCGTCCTGGCTGCGGCGTGGCTCTAAACTCTCAGCATATAGCGGGCAATAGCCCACTATATACTGAGTTTTAGGTCACCGAAGGACATTAATATATATGTCCTCCTGTGACCCTGAAGAGAACTGTAGCCAAAAAAGATTAGGCCATAGTTCTCCTTTAAACATTGCATCCACAGTAAATAGTTAATGAGTGCGATGCTCCGGCTCCTGCAGACTTTTCTTCCTGTCTATGTCTGTACCAAGTGGTAACAGGAACAGGAGGAAGAATGAATGGACTATAAGTGCGGTGACATTTACAACCACAGGACCCTCTGCCACGGTGCGTGATAAGACTTGTAGTTTCTCCATTCACAGATCCTGTCTGCCCATCCGGCTGCGCTGATTAAAATAAACAACACCAGCCTACGGGTAGAAGAACATTGCGATTCAGGTAAGTGGGGGGGGTTTGCGATGAGACCATGTTTTCATGTTAACCACTTCAGGACCCCAAATTAAAGGTCTATAATTATTACCACAGGTGTATTTTAAGGTGTATTTTAAATGATGAAGACAGAATATCAACCAAAAATCCAGAGAAAACACATGATACAAATGTTATAAATTGAGTTGCAGTTCAGTGAGTGAAATAAGTATTTGATCCCCAAACATAACATGACTTAGTACATGGTGGGGAAACACTTGTTGGCAAGCACAGAGGTAAGACGTTTCTCGTAGTTGGTTACCAGGTTTGCACACATCTCAGGAGGGATTTTGGTCCACTCTTCTTTATAGATCTTCTCTAAATCCTTAAGGTTTCTTGGCTGTTGCTTGGCAACTTGAAGTTTCAGCTCCCTCCATACATTTTATATAGGGTTAAGGTCTGGAGACTGGCTAGGCCACTCCATGACCTTAATGTGCTTCTTCTTGAGCCACTGCTTTGTTGCCATGGCGGTATGTTTTGGGTCATTGTCATGCTGAAGGACCCATTCACGACCCATCTTCAGTGTTCTGACTGAGGGAAGAAGGTTCTCATCCAAGATTTTACAATACATGGCCCCGCCCATTGGCCCCTCAATGAGGCAAAGTCGGCCTGTACCTTTAGCAGAGAAACAACCCCAAAGCATAATGTTTCCATCTCCGTGCCTGACTGGAGGAATGGTGTTCTTAGGGTCATAGTCAGCATTTTTCTTCCTCCAAACACAGTGAGTCGAGTTAATGCCAAAGAGCTCAATTTTGGTCTCATCTGACTGCAGCACTTTCTCCCAATCCTGCTCTGAATCATTCACATGTTCATTGGCAAACTTCAGACTGGCCTGTACATGTGCCTTCTTGAGGAGGAGGACCTTGCAGACGCTGCAGGATCTCAATTCATGGTGGTGTATTGTCTTACCAATGGTTTGTTTGGTGACTGTAGTCCCAACTGCCTTGATATCATTCACAAGCTCCTGCCGTGTAGTTCTGGGTTGATCCCTCACTTTTCTCACGATCATCCTTACCCCATGAGGTGAAATCTTGCATGGAGCTCCAGACCGAGGGCGATTGCTGGTTATTTTGTATTCCTTCCATTTGCGAAAAATCGCTCCAACAGTTGTTTCCTTCTCACCAAGCTTCTTGCTGATAGTCTTGTAGCCCATTCCAGCCTTGTGCAGGTCTACAATCTTGTCCCCAACGTCCTTTGACAGCTCTTTGGTCTTGTCCATGGTGGTGAGGTTTGAATGGAAGGAAGAGATTCTGTGGACAGGTGTCTTTTATATACATAACGAGTTGTCATTATGAGCACCTTCTTTAAGGTGCCCATACACCTTACGACCATCGCAAGACCTTTGAACAGAACTAATTTGTGTACCACATACAGTCTGTGGGAGCCAGAATTATTGTGGGTTGGTAGGGAATCAAATACTTATTTTACTCACTGAACTGCAACTCAATTTATAACATTAAAAGCTTTTGAACATCGCCCACGGGAAATTTTGGTTATTGTAGTATTTTGCGGTTTCACGGACGCACGCAATTTTAAGGCTTGACATGTTTGGTATCTATTTACCCGACGTGACCCCATCTTTTATGTTTTACCAAACAATTGGGTATTATATTCTGTTTCTGTGCACTACATTTCATTTTTGTGTATTTTATCCTAAAAATAAACTAGGGCTGCAACAACTAATCAACATAATCGATTATAATCGATTATTGAAAAAGTTGTCAACTTTTTCAATAATCGATAACAAAAATTCAGATGTTATCATGTTTTCATCAAAAGATGTAAATGAATACTTTGTACAAAGTTGTCTATAGCCCTGCCGCACACTATTACATTTTAAGCTGCTCACAAAAGGTTGGAGTTACAAAGCAGCTCTAGGCTAAAAAGTAATATTAATTACCCAATATACTTGAACTGAATTTGTAATTCTGTTCAGCCAGTTCTTTAATTTAGACCAGGGCTGGGCAAATCCCGTGAGCCAGGTAGCCAACACTCCTTGGCTACCTGGCTACCTAGCTGGTGCCTAACTTTTAAGGTTTTCTCTAGTTGTTGTTAATGGAGCCGTCTCCTGAAAAATATCCTTCTGGCTCCTGGATTGGACAGACTGGCTCCTGAATTCAGTATTCATTGTTCTATCCATGGTCTGGACACCCTTGCCAGACACTATGCAGAATTTGCACTTTTCTTCTTTACAGTCGAATGTAGCCTGGTCAACACTGTGATTGGATAGTGAAGCATCAGCAACTCATTGGTGATGTCATGACATTGCTCCATTTGGTGTATTTACAATACTGTACAATGCAACAACGTTTGATTGGCTGCCTTTGCCAGTCTAAATCCTGGTATACAGGAGTGTACAGGGCGCTAGTACAATGACAGGTTCTTGTACTATTTCAGAATGTATTCCAACTTTTTCACCCTAATTGGAAAACACCTATTTTATATTTGTCCCCATTAACATAGCATAACCTTATACCCATTTAAGTGCTTTTATGGCTTAAAAATCCATCCTAGCTAATGATTCTCATTGATACACATGAGCACATTTTCACGATATATGGCAGCCTTGGATAGCTTATTCCAGACCATCTACTTTGTGGTCTCCCTTGTTATCCATTTAATGGCCTGACTCCTTGTAGCCTCCCAACTCTGCTTCGCTTCTCTTCCTTATTTCCTCCTTTGCTCTCTTCTTTCAGCGACTTTTCTTTTTGATCCCTTGCCCCTTTTCCCCTACCCCTCTCCATATGAACACTCATCTGTATGTCTGGAAAATTTCCATGGATTTATTATGGATTGTCTCCAGAGCACTTTTATTCCCTTTTCCTTCTTTTATGTCTACTGAGTTTTGTACCACATTTCATCCGATTGTAAAAATTAGGCCCTTTTCACACGGGCTGATCAGGAGAGGATCTGTGCATGGATGATCTCCTGATCAGAGCAGTAGGGAGCGGATGTCACCACTGTCCGGTTTTTTCCTCCGTCTTGCGATGGAGGAAAGAACTAAAATTGTAGTGTTGGCGTATGGTGAGTCTGGGAGTCTCCCCATAGACTCTATGGGGAGTCTATGAGGAGTCGGATGTAAGCGGACATGTGTCAGTTTACATCAAATTACCCCCAATCACGATCAGGTCTGGCGAAACAGAACTCTTTTCTGTGTGTTTTTCCGGACCTGGCCGGAGTCGGGGGTTACCGAGTGTAAAAAAACACCTGTCCGTTTACACCTGGCTGCCCATAGCATTGGGCATCTAATGTGAAAGGGGCCTTATTCTGTATGGTTATAGAAGTTTTGGCAGGGAGACTTATGGTAAACAATAACTATATAGCCCCTCCTAAACATTACAAAGCAAGGGAAAGCCAGGTAGGATTATCATTCCCTGGTTTGTATTTTTTTTATATGTTTACTTGTGTTTTACAAAAAACAAAACAATAAAAAGATTGTGAAAGAAACAAAAAAAAAATCCTTACCATTCCCATAATTATCCCTGTCTGCACTGTGCTGGCAGATCTCATTATCAGTTGTAAATTAGATTTAAACAATGTCTGTTCTAACAGGGATGAAGATCTTATCTCCTGGGTTCTGCATTGTATGTTCAGGGGTGTGGACAATTAAAAAAAACCAAAAAACTACTTGTCCAAGGACTATACCTGAAAAGGTACATAAGCTTCTTTGCTGCGTTTTTGTCGCGCGTTTCCATTGGGATACAGCCAAGTAGCCCTCGGAAACACGCGACAAACGCGCATATTCGATATGCCTAGGTGTGAACAGAGCCTAATCCAGTGCAATGTGAAAAAATGTGAATGCAGCATTTTTTCTGGAACGCGCTGGACCGGAAACACAGGCATTGATGTGCCATGTGCTCTGGTGCGGGCAATCGCACTGCGGGCGGGGGACTTGGCTTAAAATGGGCTTTCAGGTGCAGTC